TCTTCTCTCGTGTGGGCTACTTCTGTAGCTGATCGCCTACAACCGGCCACATATCGACATCATTGGATGCGCACGTATGTGTGATGAAGAAGAGGACGCCCGACAGATTCTTCGTTTTCCGATCCCGCGAGGAATAAAAGAGAATATTTAACTCGTCAATGTATTGCTCTCCTGGTGTTTGACGAATAAAGGGAAGATTTCCGATTTATAGAAGCAACCAAAAAAAGAACAATAAGAACGTCTGGTCTTTTTTACACTGAGAATATACCGAGTACCACGGTGAATTTTCATAGACGAGGCGACTAAAGGCAATCTGTCCCAGATAAAGGTAGACTGACCAGCACTCGCGTATATTATGCATAACTAAATCCATCTTTATCTTTGCGGAGACTCAGCGTTCGTGGAGACAAGATAGCGAGCGGACAGTCTCACGAAAGATCGTCGATTATTACGCGCGGTTGTAGTGCGAGCGGCCTAAAATGGCAGTGCTCATGACCTATTATTTGTATACCTGTGTTATCGAAGATTCTAAACGTCGCACTATGGACCATTTTTTTTTTTGAATGAAAACATTAAATATCTCGGGTTAGAGTATAGTTCTATTATATGACTTTCAAATGACCTTCGAAACTTGATCCAATCAATTTTTTACGATTTTTTTCTACTTTTATTAGTCTTAACCTTTTCAAAATTAATTTCAAAGTACAAAGTATTTTATACTATTGACTACTACAAATCCAAATCTAGCATACCAAGACCAGCTTCTACTTATTTCGACTACTTATTGCTGACTACGGAAATTTTAGAAAAATAAGGGATCATTTATTGAAATGTAACTTTTAATACTCGTGACAATTCAATTTTGAAAAAATGCTGTACAAAGTGTAGTGAAATGCAGAAAAAATTATTTTCTCTCCAAATAAAAATATATATATGTATATATAATTTTTTATATATGATTTTTTATATTTTATGTATATATATGGGACGATCCATGTCAACCGGATCACTGCTGTGTCCAAACTTTGATGTGACCAAAAAAATCGTGCAACGATTCATTTTAAAGCTTAGGATATCTACATTCTGATGCTGTGTGCGCCTATGCAAAATCCAACATGGCGGCTCCAATATGGCGGCTACAAGAGACAAACTCGTAAACAAAAAATTTTATTTTTCAAATTTTTAGTAATAAATGTTAAAAAAATTAATATTTCATATTTTTTTATGAAAATCTGGCTTATTTCCTACAAAAAAGTAACAGAGACCATTTTCGCTAAAATGAAAAATAAAAAAGTTATAATTTTTTGAAAATTTTCCAAAATAAAAAACTTTGCGATTTTTTTACTCAGAAGGAAATGACTTTAGAAAAAAAATTTAAGGAACAAAATTGCTTGAAATTCATCAAAACACAAGTGTGAATTTTATCGAATTCCTTTGAGCGATTTTATGAATTTTTGTAAAAGATCTTGGGAAGTTTTTTAATTTTTCAAACAATCCGATAAATCCAAAAAGCAAAAAATCGCTCAAAGGAATTTGAAAAAATTCACACTTATGTTTTGATGAATTTCAAGCAATTTTGTTCCTCAAATTTTTTTCCAAAGTCATATTTTTTTTCAATTTCAAATTCTTATTCATTTAATTCCAATGTACTGAAACATTCTTGAAAGATTTTCCTATTATTTTTGTACTTCATTATGAAAAGTTATGTGATTATAGGTTTCAATGCATCAAACGGTTGAGAAGTATAGCTGAACTTTTAAAAGGAATTTCGTTTGGTCAAGTACATAATTGATTAAAAATTGTTTTAAGTTTTATAAATAGAAGAAACACAGGTGATATTGAACAATTCGTTGAAGTTTCAGAAATTGAAATCAAAAAATATACCGAAGAATTTTCAGAAATCAGTGCTTCTCCAGTAACATGAGTTATATAGATTATATGTAATTATACTTTAGATATATTTTGTTTTATGAATTTTATCAAGTTTATAGGTTGTTGTGGAAAATTTTGATTTTTGTTTGGAGAAAAAATATTTTTGTCTGCATTTCACTGCACTTTGTACAGCGTTTTTCAAAATGAAATTGTCATGAGTATTAAAAGTGAGATTTTAATAAATGATCTCTTATTATTGTAAGATTTATTAATCTATCTCAAACTAAAATCTTATCTTTAATTTGATAACAATCAAAGGAAACGAAAGGCAAACGCTCACGACTTGTATATCGTGGCTTAAACTATCAAGATAAATTATGATAAAAACAAAACATTTTCCTTCACCGAGGAAACAATAACCAGCAACAACGATCGTCACTTCCGCCAAAACAAAATAAAATGAAGATTACCTTTATAACCTGTTTGGCTTTGTTAAGGACTCCAAATATCGGAGACTAAACACCCGAAGTTTTTCTGCCGTCGGTGACGAGGCATTAACCCCAGAGAATAGGTGGTCAGCAACCTTCGTCGCCTCAGACCCGACAACCTCGAAAGGCTCGATGTTGGACGTCCCTGCGGATACCGGCTCGTCTTGCGGTTGTGACGTGACTTCTATCTGCGATGCGTTTTCTGTGCGAACTTCGGTGCTGACTCCATTCGTGACGAGCGTTTGAGCTCGAAACGCAAGCTTTTCGCGAACTCGCCTTCCACAGCAGTATCTAAGCTTCTTTTCCTTGGACACTCTGATGGAGGGCTCAGGACTTGAAACTGCCTTAGGATCCCGTGCCAACTCCACTCTTAGCCGTCCCAAAAGCTTTAAGGCTTCTTACCGCTGATCCTCAATAGCGACTGCAAAAGTAGATTGCTCATTTTCACGCTAATAAATATCACCAACTAATAGGCTAATTACTTATCTCTCTACTCCTGCAAATTTAGCCGCAAAACAGCATCTTCTTTTCTATTTGGCAATTTTGACGGTAATGGAAGATTTTTTTATTTACACCGAGTTTATTTATAATCTATCTAACATATAGAAACAATAATTAAATTTTTCATAAAAAAGAATATTTTTCTAGGTAATATTTGTGCAGTTGTCTACAGTTTACAGTATATAGAAGTGTACGAGGGTCGTTTGAAAAGTCCGTGCAAAGTCAGAGAGATGGCGCTGCCAGTGCGTATCAAGGTTATTTTCAGTTAGTGGCATATCTTGGAAGAGCACACACCAAGTTTCAGTCAGATCGGCCAATTACTTTGCGTTTTACATTCGTTTCAATCAAAGAAATCGAGTGGTTGTAAAAAAATGGACGAAAAAGAATTTCGTGTATTGATTAAACATTACTTTTTCAAAGGCAAAACGCCTCAGGAGATTAAACAGACGCTTGATAAACATTATGATGATTGTGCACCTTCGATTAGAATGGTTTATAAGTGGTTTCAAAATTTTCGGAGTGGCCATATGAGCACAAAAGACGCTGAACGTTCTGGACGCCCTGTTGAGGTTACCACTTCAGAAATCATTGATCAAATCCCTGATATGGTGATGGCTGACAGAAGAATGAAGGTGCGTGAGATTGCTAGTACTGTAGGCATCTCGAGCGAATGGGTACATAATATTTTGCACCAACATTTGGACATGAAAAAGCTATCTGCTAGATGGGTGCCGCGATTGCTCACGATTGACCAAAAACGAGATCGTGTGAAGTGTTGCAAGAATGGTTTGCAGCTGTTCCAACAAAATCCGCAAGATTTTATGCATCATTTCATCACTGTAGATGAAACATACATCACTACACTCCTGAGACCAAAGAATAGTCTAAACAATGGGTTACCAAGGGGGAATCTGCTCCGAAAAAGGCGAAGACAATTCCTTCGGCCTGGAAGGTTATGGCGACTGTCTTTTGGGATTCGCAAGGAATAATCTTCATCGACTATCTGGAAAAGAGTAAAACCATTACAGGCAAATATTATTCATCGTTATTGGATCGTTTGAAAACTGAGTAGCTAGAGAAACGTCCACGATTGGACCACAAAAAAGTCCTCTTCCACCACGATAATGCGCCAGCTCACGCCTCAGCAGTTGTGGCCGCAAAACTGATGGAGATTGGAGGGTTCTAACTCGTTTCACATCCCCCCTATTCTCCAGACTTGGCTCCGTCGGATTACTATTTGTTCCCTAATATGAAAAAATGGCTGGCGGGGAAAAGATTTTATTCAAACGAGGAGGTGATTGCAGAAACGAATGCCTATTTTACAGACTTGGACAAATCCTATTATTTGGAAGGGATTAACCAACTAAAGCAGCGTTGGATGAAATGTATAAGCCTAAAAGGAGACTATGTTGAAAAATAAAAAAGATTTATTAAAAAAAATTAAGCAGTTTTTATTTTTGCATTGACTTTTCAAACGACCCTCGTAGAAAAATTAATAGTGGTGATTGGCCTGATGTTAAGTCTAGATATAATGATACTTTAAAATATTTTTTGTTTATATCTCTTATGATTGCAAAGCCAATCAAATCGGCTAGCTTGTTTATATCTATTGGTTAGTATATTGGTACTCTAGTGGATATTAGAGGACAAGTCTTTTACTGGTTACAGTTTTTCACTTTACGGTGATTTGTTTATGAGGATACATCATGTCTTCTTTCTAAATGGCCATTTTATCCCTTATTTTGTTATTTTTATGATGATGAAGAATAAATTTAAATTATTATTTGTTTGGCTAATTCTTTAGCTTTTAAAGTAGAGCGCAATGCGTCTGTTGTTACTTTGGGTGTAACGTCGTCTTTGCGAATCTCTCATAAATACTCCACCAATACGCTGGATCTTCATGACTTTCCAGTAATAGAGATAGGTTATTTTAAAAAGAAATACCTATTATTATTGATCCAAAAAACATTTTTATAGATATAACATACATACACTTATGCACACACATACGCCCACATCTTTTACGATTTGGACAATCTATTCTTCATTGCAAACAATTGAATAATTAGACATTTCTAAGTACGTTATTACTTAAAATAATAAACAGATAATAGTTATTAATATCAATTTATATTTCAGTTGCTGGACCTGTTTTCACTGAACAATGACAAAATATCATGTAATGAATGTATGCCCGAAATTCGAGATGTATCAAAGGCAATTGGTGTGCCTGGAGTGAGCCCATCAATTCTTGAAATTTTTCCAGAGCTTTGGGAACAACAGCAGTATGACGATGAATATGATTTGGAATCTTTTTTGACAACTTTAAAAAGAAATTCTCCAAATACAAATGTAAATTTTAAATAACTACTTGTCTCGATCTTATTTCACGTATATATATAATTGAATTTTTACATTATTTTATTATGTTTTGATCACTTTAGTATTGTGAGGTAACAAGACGATATAATCAAAGTCCATCTTTTAAGAAACGTGTGAGATGTATTCATTTGTATTTTAATAGAAAACTCATATATAGTTTTATTAGTGCGATTTGCATGTATGCAGATTACAAGAAAATGTATCATTTATTTTTTATACTGTTTACAAGCTTCAATTTAGTAAAAGTGAAATCTAATAGTACTTATTGTAAAATAATATATTTCTTGTAATTGTACTGATCATAATTACGTAAAAACTATTTAAATAGTATGAACAGCCATTAAAGTCTTACTAATTTAATCTACTTTAGTATTATTTCGATATTGAATTAAATATTACATAGAGATTGCATATTTTTCTAGCCTTATTGTATACAGTTGTGAAATTATGTTGAGTCAAAATTACGGCTCAAACCGCTATATATGAAAGCTCTATAAAAAAGTTGCAGCGATTCAGAACAAAAAATAATTTAGTAGTCCGCAAAAAATGCTCTATCGTTTGTTGCAATAAATTTGGTATAATTGCAATAAAGAAGAAAAATAGAGAAAAAAATGTTTCCATCGTTCAATTATGCATATTACAATAGATACATAACTTTGAGAAATTGAGGTAGGTCGGATACTTTTGAGATTTACCTCGTATACCACTTCTGTGACCCTTGAAAATTGTAAGCAAATTTTTTTTAAGTTTCTCATTATATCGATTAACTTTATCTTTAGTGGTAAAGGCAAATGTTGCCTCATTAGAATTTAGTTTGTAAATAATTTCATGCTCCATATCTCTAAAATACTTAGTAGCTAATCATTTGCATGAAATATCAAATGAGTTTTGAAAATAAAATATCCAAAAATATATATTCCCTTTCCATGTCAATACAGGATTTATTAACAAATTTACATATAGTTCTTGAACCTAACCTTAATTTATATCGTTATTTAACTTAACTAACTATTTACTTCAACGTTATTGTTGATCAAAGTAATATGAATCAAGCTTTGAACCTTATTTCATGATCCAAAACTATTAGCATAAGATGTATTAAAGCTCTATCTATCCTCTGCACTCCTCGCAAAACCAATACCGCTGTTGCATTTACTTTCAAATTAGCTGTTGTATGAGTATTATCATATTTAAAAATACCGACTTCATGAAAAAGCTTACATTGTTCGTGATTTATTTCATAAACATATTCTTGTTTTCCCGCGGGTCTTGAAATTAGATGTCCGAAAACTCTGCAGTTGAAAACCGTACGAATTATTTCAATATTACATTGGATTACGGCGTTCTCCCGGAACTCAGAAGCTTGTACAAGTTCTGAGTTAATATTTGTTGAATTTTCCGGTGTGTTGTGAAAATTACACTCCTCTTAGTCTAACAAAGAAAAGGTGGTTATATTGGGTGTTGTTGTATCACAATCGTATCCAATGATTACATCATTTTATTAAAAAACTGTAGTTAATAGTAATATTTCAAAAATCATGATTGAGGTTTCCTAAAACAAAACGAAAAAAATTGACATATTTCTTCTACAAATAATCAATTTATTAGTATGAACCATACTCAGTATTTCACCTTTATTTATTATAATATTTATAACGGGATATATCTTTAAGAGAATGCTGTAAATGCTCGTAAACTAGTATTGACGCACGATGTAACGTGGTTACCCTGCTATGTCGCACATGAAAAAAAATACCTGTGCTTTTTCTTTTGCTATTTGTAATTGTTTATAAAAAGTTATTTTCACAAACTACTTAAACAGTTATTATTTTTTAAATCTGATTGCATCAATTAGATTTCAAATAATTTTCATGATCAATTGAAGACTAAGAAAAACATGTTTATATATGGGTGATTCTCCAGAAAAAGGTACATTTAAGTCTTGACTTTATATTGTTCTTTCTTTTTCGTTTATATCATCATATATAGTACTAATTGAAAGGAAATGTTTTTCTCAATTTAGGTGAACAATTATTGATTATGAAAGAAAGCCTTTTAACATACTATATAAACAATATATAAAAAAATGTAAACTCCGTTGCTGTTCTTGTTACAAATATCAATAATTCTAATAACTATTTTTTATTGATATAGAATCCTTATTTTTTATTTATAGATGTATTATAATGATATATGTGGATGTTAAGTTATTAGAAAATTGTTGATATCTCCCTTCATTAATGTTATGTATAACTTTTTCTTTCTTTTTGAGGAGAGTCTGAAACCATTTACGGACAACTGACGGAAGTCCGCCAAGTGTGGGATTCAGTAGCTTAGGCTACCAATATCCACCAAACATATCTCTCCTTTTTCGCACCGCAACCAGCCCGGAACTGTTTATCACATTACTTCAGACTGAGCGGCTGTCATTGCGCGTCCAAGCACACATTCATCCCTTTAATACTCATTCATTCCCGAAATCTGAAATGTTCATCATTGAAATGTTCATCATTGAAATGTTCATCATTCATCTGAAATGTTCTCATTCATTTAATTCAACTGTTGTCAACATTATGTTCGTCACGTTTTCTAGCATAATCGGCCCTAATTCTGTCTCCAGTCTCAATCTTTGCTCGGCCCAACGGTCGCACACGTAAAATGTGTGCTCCGCGTCGTCCCAAGACCCCCTACAGTACACATAGTCTGGGGAAGTTACCTTACCCTTTCTGTGCAGGTACTTTCGGAAGTATCCGTGTCCGGTCAGAAACTGGGTGAGATAGAAATCCACCTCCCGTGTTTTCTGTCTTTCCACGGACCAACATCTGGTACCAGTCTGTGGATCCATCGTCCTTGAACGTCTGTCTTCCATCTTGTCTGCCATTGTTCTGTCGTTTTCGTTCGTTCCTCTGTTGCAGCGTCGGCCTTCTCTACGGTCGCACTTCGGTCGTAAATACGTTTCCTCTCGCCTACCAAGAGGTCGATCGGGATAACGCCCGCGATCGCGAATATCGCGTTTTCCGAGACTGTTCGGTACGCGCACGCGATTCTTAGTGCTCCCGTTCTTTGTACGCTCGTCATAGTCTTTGCGCGTCTCCTTACCCGTAACAAGTTGGCCCATACCTTTGCTCCGTAAAGCATGATGGAGTGGGTTACGCCCATCGACAGTCTTCGTATACTCGGTCTCGGTCCTTTCGTGTTTGCCATCAGTCTACTCAAGGCCTTGGTCCTTTCGCTGGCTCTGGCGGTCGCGTCTCGTATGTGGGGCCAAAAGTTCAGTTTCGTATCTAGAGTCACCCCCAGGTACTTTACCTCACTTTTGGTCTCCAGTCGTTCCGTACCTATGGTCATCGGTATTCTCGTGTCTATTCTCTGTCTCGTCAGTATCAGAAAGCCTGTCTTAAAAAGAGCCAGGCTCAGTCCGTGGTCCGTCATCCACCCATCAATATTATGTATAACTAATTACATTATTTTCTACATTTATAGGAATTTCTTAAGTTATAATATCATTGAATTTTATCAGTTTCTATAGTCACTAAAGGTCTTGTGATGAACGTTATATTCGCACATTCGTCTCGTCGGTAGAACTGCTCACGGGAGCAGCACCTACCGGATATAAAATGAGGGTACGTGTCGCGTACGCGTTGATACGCAGAAAAGTGTAGGGACTACTCTCGTACACGCGCGTTCTTTTCGAATTCCAGACTCTCGAGCTTTGGTGTCCGACGAAGGTTATCGTGTGCGTTCTCTCCCTAAAAGAAAGAAAAGCTTCTTGAGCGACCCTCAAAGGATACGAGAGATTGAACGTAATCTCCTATAAGCATACCAGTTACCACATGAAAAACAAGAGAAGCCTTCTTGCTTTTGAAGAGACCTGAACGACGGCGAAATCGCAGATATCGCAAGGTAAGCTGGCCAGCTCCACGCAATACACCTGCGCGATCCGCCATTGTCTTACGCGTGTAATATACGAGGGTGGTCCGATAAGTACTTAGCCTACAAAAGAAAAACGAAAATTTTGGAAAAGTGGCGTTTTATTTTTCAACATAGTCTCCTTATAGTTCGATACACTTGGTCCAGCGATGCTCCATCTTCTTTAACCCGTCTGAAAAATACGTTTCCTCGAGGTCTGAAAAGTAGGCTTCCGTGGCAGCGATTACCTCTTCATTCGACTCAAATTTCTGCCCGGCGAGTGACTTTTTCAAGTTTGGACACAAAAAGAAGTCGCACAGGGCTAAATATGGAGAATACGGTGGATGGGGCAGCAGTTCGTAGCCTAATTCGACCAATTTGGCTATGGCGACGGCGGAGGTGTGAGCCGGTGCGTTGTCATGGTGGAAGAGCACTTTTTTCTTCGCCAAATGGGGCCGCTTTTTCTGCAATTCGACGTCGAATCGGCTCAATAATTCGGCGTGGTACAGACCTGTGACCGTTTTGCCCCTCTCCAGGTAGTCGATGTAGATTACACCTTGTGAATCCCAGAAAACGGTGGCCATCACCTTTCCGGCCGATAGGGCAGTCTTCGCCTTCTTCGGAGCACTTTCGCCGGATAAAGTCCACTGTTTCAACTGTTCCTTGGTCTCTGGTGTAGACCAGTGGATCCATGTTTCGTCGACTGTCACGAAACGACGCAGAAACTCCTTCGGATTGCGCTTAAACAGCGTCAGATATTGCTCTGAAGTTGTCTCACGGTTGCGCTTGTTGTTCAGAGTGAGCAAACGCGGCACCCATCGTGCCGACAGCTTTCTCATGCCCAAAATTTCATGCAGGACATGATCCACGCGGTCTTTTGAGATGCCTACGATTTTAGCTATCTCGCGCACCTTCAATCGTCGATCTGCCAATACGAGATCGTGAATTTTTGTCACGTTATCCTCCGTGGTAGCGATTTTCGGAGCACCTGGACGTGGCTCTTCAAAAATCGACGTGCGATCACGTTGAAACTCGTTAAACCAATTTTTGACGGTCACCATGGAAGGAGAAGAGTCACCGTATACAGCATCAAGCGGTTTTTGATTTCGCTGCGCGATTTTCCTTCCAAAAACAATAATCGAATCACCGACCGATACTGTTCTTTTTCCATTTTTCAAAAATCAACGGACACACTTGCTTTCACACGCTCTCAAAAATAAACTACAACTCCGATCCGGCTAAAATCTTGACAGGAACCATTGAGAAAGTTGTACTACGTGATAGAATATTTCTTTTGTGAGAGTGGCGCCATCGGGCCGTGAGGCTAAGTACTTATCGGGCCACCCTCATAAGGCATAATCTGAGATGGATCGCTGACCGATCTGATGGGAGCTCGGGAATCACGGCGATTTAATTGTGCGCGTA